GACATGAAATAATAAGGCAGGCCTGCCTGGAGAGTGGGCTAATGGATGCTGGAAAGGAGGTGGAAATCTGGGGCAAATCTCTAAGCCATTTCTTCCTAATAGTTCTAAGAAATATAAAGTGATTTCTAATGCTTTCCTGAGAATTCCCATAGGAAGACAGCCATCTTTTCTCCCTGCTACCAAACCAGTGGTGCAAACACACAGCTCCATAATTCACGCCCTCAGGAGGAATCTCCATAAATATTCTCCTAAAAACTGGGTAGTATGGCCCTGCTGACACCTTGGTTCTGACCTCCAGTCACCAGAATGATAAAAGGATACGTATCGGATGCATTAAGCCATTTCTTCTGCGGAGCTGATACACTAGATTTCACCCAGCCCACCTGGGAGCTAATGCGAGAGGTTGGCTTGTTATACACATCGGGTCCTAGCTGTTCTGGGAAAACAGTGTCCTATGACACTACCACATCAGAGAAAGTATCTGGATCTACAAAGAGAAAACTTGGGGTGCAGCGGTCAGCTGTAAGGGGGAGTACCACAGCACCATGTCTGATAATGAACTTCACGCAGGTGTTCCTACAAGGTGTCTAACTGACGGCAGATGGTATGACATCAAGGGACAGTTTAATAGGACCCTGTGTGGGGAGCAAATGAAAGAGAGCATGCCGCTGTCAACGGATAGCAATAAAAAGGACTTAAGTGCTCTAATGACCAAACGCAGCACATGAATTGAAATGGATGAACCCCTAAAAGATAGAAACTATCAAAACTGTCACAAGAAATAAACAATCCAGACCTGAAACACATGAAGAGATTTAACTAGTACTTTTTAGAAGAGGGATGATCCATTTTACCCTCCACAAATGGATAATGCTCCTCCCAGAAGCCATAGAGTACTAAAGAAAAGTTCCAATGTCAGGTGTAGATAGCACCCTCTGCGTTGTTGGCCAAGCGGGTCCCAAAGCCCCCCCCCCAAAAATCAAGGCTATTGTCATTGCTCTTGGCTACCCATTGGAGAGTAAGACCCTGTTATAGCTGAAAAGACCACTGGCACTGGTCACAGGCCATAGCTAAATCAAGCTGGGGCCGAGCTGGGTGTCCTGTCCTACTGGGTAGCTTTCACAGTATCAAAGGTGCTGTGCAGACTGTTGAGGGGGGCAGGGGCATGATCAACATGCAGTCTTAGCCAACTGCAAGTCCTGAGAGCTACAGTAATGGACTGCCAGGCAAGATATGGTGATTGGTACAATATTGGCATGACTGCAATGAGGGTAACCTACTTCTCTCTGACTAGAGCTGAGGCCCTCTGCAAAGGAGAAAATGTTTGCCTGCTTCTGTAAATCTGGTCAAGAGTCTGTGGCTTGGGAGGTCAGAGGCCCTCCTGGGGAAACCATTGCTTTGCTACAGGGTCTCATTGTCAAACCACCTTCTAAAGCCTCGTGTTTATCCCATAGAGGAATGCTGCGCCCAGCCTTCAGCAGGAAAATCCTTTTAACTGCAATGGGCATTGGTGAGCACAGCAGCTCACCTGTGAAGGCGGGGTGCTCAGCCCCAAATGGAATCACAGTATCACCCCCACCAAGGGTCAGAGAACGTCACAGAAGAGGAGGCAGGAAGAATGCAAGAGCCAGAGGATGCAGAGATGTGAAACAAAAGATGTCTTCTGGATAGGGTATAGCCATTGTGCTCAGGAATGGGCTGAAGCTGTGAGTATCTGAACAAGATTGCAGAAGGCTGAGCCAGTAATAGTCCCTCAGGGCTGTGGGAGGGGCCCAGAAGACTCCACTTCTTCCTGAAGGACAAATGGAAGCTAATGGTTGCTGGGGTGAAGGGTGTCATTTTCTTCAGTGGTGTAGCCACTGAGAAGTTACCTTTGCTCCAGTAAACAGGCCCCACCCACACGCATGCAGACATCTCTAGTTAAACTCTGTGGGTCACAGACAAAGGCAGGAAAGCAGGAGAAGCTCTTGCTAGAATAAGGGTTTCAGGAGGAGAGAGGTGGGGACCAGACAGGACATGGGAGGTTGAAAATGACTACCACTCATTCCAGAGATGTGTGAAAACTATCAGACAACAACAACCAAGCGTGTCTGTAAGCAGGCAGCAAGACCCAGACAGCCTCCTCTATTCAAAAAAGACATTCTTTACTGTTCAAGCATTTTCAGAACTTCATAAACTCTCTAAAACAACAGAAGAGTTTGAGCATTTCTCCATTCCTTTACTGGGGCCAGATTAGTCTGGTACAAAATCCAGATGAAGTGGCATGCAAAGAAAAACAAAGAAACTAGAGAGCAAAGCCATATAGAGGACACTCCAGAAAGACGTACTCCAAGTTCATGGCTGGGGGCTTGTATGTCTTAGGCAATCTCCATAAGAATTGTCTCAGACTGTTTTCTGTTGTTGTTGTTGTCTTAAATAAAGATTACACAGCAGATTTTGAGCTGTCTCTGGCATTAATCTGGAGTACAAATATCCTACGCCCCTACTCTTTGCCAAATTTTAGGGCAGCAGGCAGAAATAAGGGATTTTTAAAAAATCAAAATTAGATGCTATTTATATATTGTTAACAAAACAATAAAAACTAGAGGAATTGCCCATACTGAGATTGTGTAAGCAAGGTCGAGGCCAATCTAGGCCACTCCTTGGGTAGAAAAACAGTTTGTTAGGGGATAAACTGCAGGGATGCCTCAGAGCGTAGAAAGCAGCAGCTTGTTGGAAAAACAAGCAGATCTTTATGATGGTCAGCAGGTGGGGGTTTCTGAGCCAATGCAGGCTGTAGCAGCCTACTTAGCAAGTAGGCTAAGTACTACAGGGACTTATTATTAATTATAAAATGCTTGGCCTTATCTTGGGCTTGTCCCACTAGCTCTTCTAACTTTATTTAACCTGTTTCTGTTCATCTATATTTGCCTCAGGTTTCTTTTTATTATTATTATTCTACCTTTCTTTCATCCTGCAAGTCTTAGTTTCTGGCTTCCTCCATATCTGACTGGCTGGCCTTGGGTGTCTTCCCAGGATCTCTTTTTCTTTCTCCTCTGAGCCTAAATTGCTCCTCCTACATACTCTCCCTGATGGGAAGTTCCACCTATACCTCCTCCCTTGCTATTGGCTGCTCAACTTTTTATTAAACCAACCAGGCAAGCAAGGTAAAACAGCAAAACCTCTTTACATAAGTAAACAAATGCAACACATCTTTACACAGCTAAACAAATGAAAAGCATTTTTGCATAGTTAAATGAATATTCTGCAACAATACACCTTTAATCCAGTTTTTTTTTTTTTTTGAGATGGGAAACCCACCTCTAATCTGGGCCATATCTTTTTCTGGAGTCCTGTATAAAGACATGGAAGAAGGGAGCTTTTGCTCTTTGCCTGCTTACTCTCGCCTTGTTAGCAAGTCATTCCTTCACTGGCATCAGACCCCACTTCTTCTGGATTCCAGTGGATACTGAAGACCAGCTGAGACATCCTGCTTCACAGACTGAACAACTACTGGGTTCCTGAACTTTCTATTTATAGGCAGCCATGGTGGTATTAGGTGGGCCACAGCCTGTAGGTCATTCTAACAATTCCCCGTTCTACATGTAGAGAGATTCATTCTGTAAGTTCTGTTACTCTAGAGAACCCTGACTATAATACACAGTGTTTTTTAATGTGATTTTTTTTATTGGTTTTGTGGGTTTTAGAAAGAAAGACTATGATCAAAATACGGTGTGTGAAAAAAATTAAATAAATTTAAAAGGGGTGGGGGAGGATCTAATAGTTAACCTCTCCATTGCAAAATTATTCCTCTCGGGACACTCAAACAGCTTTTCCTTTCTTCTGAAATCATTCTTGGCATAGTACAGAGAAAATTCAACAAACAGATTTTCCAACTCTGGTTTGCCTATCAGATTAAGAAAAATATGTGGAGAGTTATATTAATAGTTCCATGGCAGAGCATGTGTGCGGTTTGAACAAGGCCAAGGGGTCATTCCACAGCACCTCCATTTCTAAATTACTTGACCTAAGCAGTTAACATGGGTTGTATTGTTTACCTGATAATTTCTTGTTCTTTTTTTTTTTTTTTTTTAATGTCTGTTTGCTCGCTGACTTCCGGCTAGCAAGACGTTCAATTGAAGAGATGGCTCAGAGTGTAAAAGCAGGTACCACTCCTCCGGCAAGAACTCCCAGCCCACATTGGGTGGCTAGCAAGAGCCTGTAACTTCAGTCAGTAACAGGCGATCCAATGCCCTCTTCTGGACCTCACCAACAATGCAGGCACAAAAATGCACAGACCCACATCCGCACTGCTCAAATACACCAGTAATTTAAAAACATCATCAACAAAAAATAGCGCAGTTTTTAATGAATAAATAAAGAGCAGAATGTGCCGATTGTGCATACGAGCTAACCAGAACATCCAGGAACTTGTCAAGTAACTTTTTTTTGTAGATTACAATCTACGTGGTGGGAATATTTACTTGGCTGAAACAGCAAATACTACACAACAGGACTTCCCATCAACCTGCAAAGTCCCAGGGTGCTCACATGCACTCCAGAGGACAAGCCCTGAAAAAGTTTATCTTTCTACCTGGGGCGTGGAATACAGAAAACCGCGCTTAGAACGAGACTGCTTGCGGTTGATGTAATTGTTGCAAAATCACGTAGACGCTATAGCTGAATATAATCAAGACAAAAGTAGTACCCAATGCTGATGTTTTGGTGAACACCTTTTCCTCTTTAGATCTTTATTGCAAGGATTGCTGAGTTGTGCACCATCAGTGGTCTTAAACTGAAAGAACGCGAGCAGCGCGCCCAGCTAGCTGAATCCAGGTCTTGGAAGGTTAACGCAAACGTGCAGAACCGCAGTTAACATTTTCAGCATCAGCGCGCTATTGCATCGTTTTAAAACCCCAACAAATTTCAATGTATTAAACTTGTTCTTCTCCCGCTGCTCTACCCCTCATCGACCGGATGGTTTAAGAGGGGCTGCCGCGCTCCGCGTACAGACCCCACGTCACCGTCCCCCACGCCCACCCCCGGACGCCCCCAGACGTGCGAATTGAACGCTGTGTCTTTAAGGGGGAAGTGGCACTTTTCGTCTGGGACAAAATGTCTGCGAGGAGCCGGGAGGCGAGGGGCGACCATCACGGCGACGACCGGGTGAGCACGACTAGGGCTGGGCTGCGGGTCCAGGGCGAGGGCGTGGCGGGAGGGGAGGGACGCCTGCAACGCCGAGTGGAGATGTAGTGGGACACGGGGGACCGCGAGGACATCACAGGGCTGCAGGGACACTGGGGGCTGCGGTAGTTTTGGGGTCCGCGGGGAACCTTAGGGGAGGCTGGAACGCGGGGACCGGAGAGACCGCGGGTGGAGGCGAGGCGGGGGATGGGGGGGGGGGACGACGGGGACGCCTGAGGCCCGAGCGCTGTGAGCTGGGTGCGGGGAGGCCTCGGGGACCTCGGGGACTTCGGGAGACCCCAGGCCGCGCTGCTCTTAGGCGGGAGCCGCGAGTTCCTGCCGGTGATCCTGCCACCCCTGACTCTGCAGAGAGGCCCAGCCTGTCTGAGCTTCCCAGTTCTCCGTGGTCAGCCAGCTCCGAGGGGAAAAATGGAAAAACCACCCCCATAAAGTTGCCGTGGTGAAGTCTGACTTTGAGCCCAGACCGTAGCTGTGCCCCTAGCAGGGATCTCTTCCACTTAATGTGACTTGGTTAATGTGTTCCACTTGTGCAGGACAGAAAACCGGTGTAAACCAGTATCCCCTCCTCCACTAGTCACAAACAAAAGAGTTCCCTGATTCCTTCCCAGCACACTGGAACTGTTGGCTCTGTAAGCCATCCGTGACCCTTCCCAAAGCTTTACTATAAAGGCTGGTTTTTTTTCTCTTTGGAAGAAAAATCATCGCTGAGATCCAGGGTTGGTTATGAACAGCTGTTGAAGAATTAGTTTAATAAATTGAAATAATTAGTGTTATTCTTGATTTTTTTTTAAGACAGGGTCTCACTGTGTATTACTGGGCGACCTGGAATTCACCTGTGTAGACAAGGCTAGCCTAGATCTTTTGAGGACTACTTGCCTCTGCTTCCCAAATACTGGGATTAAAGACATGGACCACTCCTGGTGATTCCTGTACTACATTAGTACAACTTTTGACCTCCAAAATAATTTGAAACAAGTGACAAAAGGTATAGGAAATTGTGTAAAAAGTCCAAGAGTCCAAACCAGGTCATTCTCAACCTAAAAATCTTTTAAGCTACAAAGGTCTTCAGAGCATGGCATTTTTAAATCCTGTGCTTTAAAAATGATTCCTTTGAAATGGGTGTCTACAAGACAAACTGGATCACCACTCTTCCCAAGGGAATACATGTATATAAAACTAATGCAGAGGTGCAATTAAGATCCACTTTAGGGCCTAGTGCTCTTTTTTTTTCATTTTAAAATGCATTAATAGTGTTTTGCTGACTTTTAGTTAATAGTAGAGATAGCTGAGAGTTCAGCTAAAAACATTAAGGTAACGTAATTATCTATGGGTCCAGCATATGTTTTGGTTTTTGTTTGTTTTTTTTACAGCCTGTATATAATCTTTTTCTAATGCTTTTGCACTATCCCTTTATTTCACAACACATTTTACACTTTGCAGTAACGATTTTACTGACTTCAGAAAAGGATTTCCTTTTAGTTATGTGTTTGCCCCACCCTGTGTGTGTGCACATGAGGATACCGTGGAAACAAGAGTGAGTGTCAGATTCCACAGAGCTGGGTTACAGGCAGTTAGGAGCAGCTGGACCAGGGTGCTGGGAACTGAACACTGGTCCTCTGGGAGAGCAGCGAGTACTTCTAACCACTGAGCCATCTCTCCCGCCCCTTTACTGGCTTTTAAATTCATGTATGCCTTCAGGCTAATGATTCCAGACTAATTTTTCCAGTTGTCTGGGTCTGTTTATAAATACATGAATACATGCAGGAAGCTAATAGGTTGGCAGGGACGGACAGATCACAGGTGATGGGTGGTAGCTTCCTTCCTTTAGCTGCCGAGGCTAATTGTTCAATTCTTTCGTTCTGCTTTGATTTAAGCCACCGTTGAATGAAGTAAATGAAAGTGCCTTTAGTGCCACCACATAATCTGTGGATTTCATAATCATGTCAGTTTCTCATGCTAGATCCAGGCTCAGTCAACACTTACTTGTTTATGACTCTGTCTGGCAAGCTGAAGTGATTAGCCTTGACCACAGGGCAAACAGGACTGGATTTCGCTTGTTATTTCCTTCTGAAAACATTTCCGGCTCCTTTGGCTTCCAGCCTGCCCAGTTCTTCTCATGTGTGCGAGCATAAGAATAAAATAATAAAATTAATTTTCATGGGTCCTTTGTAGAATGACCGTATGTATTAAGCAAAGTATGGTCGTTCTGAAATAATGTGTACTTCAAAGCAGGGGGCTTTAGAGTGACTGGGAGAGATGAGGGAGATGCTCTGGAGTGAAGGCAGGGCTGGGGACGGGAATGGGGGAGATGCTCCTAGGGATGGGTGGAAGGGGTTTATTGTAGATATGAGGGAGAGCGCAGCCAGTGGCATCTGGAAGGGTCCAGGCTGAATGGGGCCACGGGGGTGATGGTAAGAGAGAAAGAGGGAAGGAGAGAGAAACTAGGAAGCCAGGAGTGAGCCAGGAGGGCAAGAGACCAAGAGACTGTATAGCCAAAATGGCTGAGGTTATATAGGGATCAGAGACTGGGGAAAGGGAAGCCCAGCCCTTGGACTGACTGGAGAGTTAGAATAAGGAGCAGGCTGAGAAGTGTTAAGAGGAGCCCAGGACTCTGTAACAAGTACTGGTGATGTTGAGAGAGACTGGTGGCCTCCCTCCACTTTGATGTTAAATGGGTACCTCAGTTAGCCATTTGTCCTGAGTTGGAGACCTAATATAGTTTTGTTTCTTTTTCTCGGTCTCCTTCACTCCATTTATAGGGGCTGGAACTCAGTGATAGAGTACTTGCCTAGCATGTGTGAATACTGAGTTCAGTCTCCAACAGCACAAAAAGAAAACAAAAGAATCACTACCAACAAAAGAATTAATAGAGATAGGTGCTGCTATGCCAGCAGTGGAAATGTCTGCTTGTCTAATGACAAATTTTATAGTGAAACAAATATATATGTATGTATGTATGTATACATATATGTATATGGTCATACAGTGTACAAGAAGACCATGTTAATAGTTTTTTTAAACTTTGCATTGATTTGTTTTTGTGTATGTGTGTGGGTGCCCATGTGTGTCAAGGTCTAAAGACAGTCTATGAGAGTTGGCACTCTCTTTATACCATGTGAGTCCTGGTAGTTAAACTCAGGTCATCGGGCTAGGTGGCAGGTGCCTTCATCTGCTGAGCCCCCTCAGTGGCTCCATATTTACAGATTTTAATGACTCCGTTCAGCCTCTGGGTTGGTACTTGAGGAGGTCATAATGAGGAAACTGGCTTCAACTTGTTAGATTACTAGAACCAAATTTCTCAGGATAGACTCAAATGAAGGGATAATTACTGGGGATCTGTTATCTCCTACAGATCTAGGCTTATCCCTCCTTCCAGAGAGTGAGCCCCAGGCGAAGCTTAGCCACTGGAGAACTAGAGGCAAGGCGCCAAGTGGTGCTCTCCCCTTGCCGTGAAAGACTTCAGGCTGGCCTTTCTCCCCTTGAACTTGGACCCAAG